AAAAAAAAAAAAAGAAAAAGAAAAATTAAAAAAGCAGAAAATGGCAACATTTCTTGAGAGAAAAATATGAAAATAAATAGACTTAATAAAACACTGCCTGCATTGATCTTTCATTACCTCCTAAAATGGAGGCTACAAAATCTCTAATAATCACATATAAGAGCTGAATGCAGAAATACTGTAATGCATGAATTTGACCAAAGGTTTAAATTACCATAATTGGAATTGGTATAAAGTATAATTTATGTCAATCTAAGGGTGGTTTATCTTTTTTTTTCTTTTTTTGGTGAGGAAGACTGGCCCTGAGCTAAGATCCGTGCCCATCTTCCTCTATTTTGTACGTGGGTCGCCACCACAGCACAGCTGAGGAGTGGTGTAGTTCCGTGTCCAGGATCTGAAACCATTAACCCCAGGCCGCCAAAGTAGAGCGCGCAAATTTAACCACTACGCCACTGGGCCAGGCCCAGGGGGTGGTTTATCTTTATCTAAGGGTGGTTAGACTAAGAGCTGTGTAAGACTAAGAGCTCAAAAAGCATTTGTTGAATGAATAAAAGATAAATGAATAAATTACAGACTGAGCAGATAGTAAGTAGATAAGGCAAAAAATGTCTGGATCTGATTGAATCTTGTTTCAGAAAAGACAATTTAGAAGAATGTTATGAATTATTATTAAAAATGATCTTGAAATCTACTTGGAAATTGTAATTCATTATACTAAGCTTTTTAGTCTTTGTTTAAAAGGAAAAGCTTAGTAAATTAATAAGGCTCAGTAACTTATGAAGAAATTTTAGAGTAACTTCTAAAGAATTAACCAGGTTTATTTTACAGATTTCTCCAATGTATATTTCCTAATGTCGCTTTCATTCATTTTTTTCCATCCAGCATGAATTGAGCCTATATGTTAAAAACAAATCTAACAGAAACAAAGAAGACAAAAACAAAAAGTTAGTCTCTGTACACAAAAATCTTCATAGTATTAGGAGGGAGAGAGTACACGCACATATGGAACACACAAAAATACAAAGGAATTATAAAAAGTAGTAGTAGTAGAAGTAGTAGTAATACACCTACTTTGTACAATAAAAATTAAAAATTAAGCTAGAGATTCAGCTAAGGGTTTCTGGGAAGGTCAAGTTTTACATTAGTTACCAGAAAAAGAATCAGTGAAGAAAAAATTACACACATATAATAAAACTTGAAATAAACAGATTAAGCAAGCAAACTGGCTGGGTGAAAAGAAGAAAAAGAAAGTGTGGTATGGACTGGACCAGGGCTGCTTCCAATCAAAATAAAAACAAGTTACTGGGCCAAATAAGTGGGCAGAGGCCCAGTGCCGGGGTTACCACTAACTGTGCGATACTCCTTCTATCACGCATCTCCCGGGTTCCAGCTTGTTTACTGATAACATAAAGGGGTGGAACCAGCTTTTCTCCTAAGGTCCTTGTTCCTTTAGCTCTGAAATTCTGATACCTGTTTTCTAATAGCCAAGACTTTCCTATTCCAAAGACAGACAACCTTTTATACTGTTCTCATCATATGATATTAGACTGCTTTTTAGTCTGGGCATGAATACAAGTAATTAGATCATTTCAGCATTCCAAATTATAAAAATGAATCTTGAAGACTGCCAGTGTGGGCAGTTTACTAAACTCAGTAGTAACTTCTAAAAATTGTTATGGAGACACAACGTACCAAATATCACATGTTATACAGAAAATACTGCAATGGGTATTGAGTTGTCCAAACCACCTGATGGATAAGGGAAGTATTCCAGCTATCAAGGGCAGATGATGAGATCTTGTGTATTCTTATTTCACTCACTTCTGAAGCTTCTGACCCACTTCACTCACTACTGTGCTTCTGAATCCTTTTACAAAACGGTCCTGAGATGGTTGACAAATCTATGTTATGTGGTATGGTATTACCATGCAAGTTATTCTTTCTACTCATCACACCTGTTCCAACTAATTTAAGAACTCACCGCCCGAGCTGAGTCACCGAAGTCTATCTTCAGCCTCCCCATGGCCCTGATGATGGCGATAATTGACTGGATGGTGTTACTGTAGACCACCGCTCTGTACTGTTTACACTCTTCTTCCGAATAACCGGCTTCGTGGATAATTCTGAGACAAAGGAAACAGAGAACACTCACTTCCTCTGACGGAAGGGCACACTTACACACAAAACACAAATTGAATGTCTTAAATCTACTTACTTCATCTGCTTCACAATTGTACTTTTCCCAGATTCACCAGCACCTAAAAAAAGGAAAATAAAATAAGGGATTTCTAACTTAATCACTTATGTATATACAACTCCCAACACACATGCACACACATTCTCTCTCTCTCTCTCTTTCTGCCTCTAACAGTTGAATTTTGTTTTATGACAAAATGATTTTTATTGGTTTCCAAACATATAGAAAAGTTCTCAAAAGTAAGTCCCACCTGTTTATTATTTCTTAGTACTTAAATTCAATAAACTCAACTGAAAAAAATGCTTTCATTGGTATTTGTGTGTGTTCCCTAAAGCATTAAAAAATTCAATTTTCTATAACTTAAATTGACACACTATAAGTAGTTTTATTTAGGATTTTGCTCCCTCGAAGATGTTTTAATCGTTTGGCCAATTATCATAATTTTAGCCTTTGGCTCTCGTGAAGTAGATGGTAGTGGTGCCAAGAAGCCACAGGAAAAATAATTCAAGAATATATGTTAAAATAGCTGTCTCATGCAATATGTTCAACCACCACTATTAAACAACTGACAAACAGCCAACACAATCTGCTGCACTGAGGATGCGACGGTGTGCAGGACAGAAATGTCTTCATCTTCCCTGTCACCCACGCCATAAGCCCATTCTCAAAACTCTCCTCCACTCTAATACGCAGGGTCTCCTCACAATCTGAGTCCCCAGCATTATGCCATGGTAACATGAAAATATTACCGATGAAATGGCCTTTATAAAATGAGAGCCCTCTTATCCTTCACACTTAGAGTAGCTGCTATCTTTATGTCAAATTAGATCAATTACTTGTCCGGCTCCTCTTGATTGCCAGATACTGAAAACATCTGAGTGCAGAACACAAAACAAGGAAGATACAACAATATCTTCTGGCTTCACGTTGTCCTTGGTCAGGGCTACATAGCGTGGAGGTGTTTATTACGGTTTGAGAGAGAGGGCTCAGGATTTTCACTGTCTGGGCCCCACATTCCCACTTTCCCAGGGAGATTCCTACAGTGCTTTACGCTCCAGCATCACTGAACAACTTACAGTTCCAAGAACACCTACCACTGATCACGCCCAAAGCTTCACACTGTTTCCCCTGCCAAAACGCAATCTGCTCTGCTTCCTCTTGCGGCTCTGGTGATCCTCTATCAACCACGAAACTCACCTCCTTCATCACGGCCTGACCCACTCCCCAGGTGATCCCTGCCTCTCACTCTGCACTTGTTTCTACTTGAATTCTCAGCAGCCTGTGCCAGATACAGAGTCCATCAACCAGAAATGTACTTGGACTTATTTACACTATTTGTAAGGGATACAATTAGATGGCAACCTTCTGGGCTCCATTCCCTTCGCCCCTTTCTCCCTCTAGCTACACACAGACACGCACACCCAAACCATCAGAGGCATCTGAGAACAGGTCATAGGTAAACGGCCTATTTGAAAATCTGGGGGGGGGAGGGGGTGGAGTGCTTAAATTTTACTTGTGATTTGATATTCAAAAAATTTTCCTCAAGATACCAGCACATTAAGTGGAAAAGCAGGAGCTGAATAAACAACGAGGGCATTCTTCATGTACAGACAGCCTTCCAATCTTTCAGGGCATCTGCCAATAAAAACAATTCCAAGATAAACAACCCATTATTTATTAATCAACAACAGTGTGCTTGGCTCTGTGGAAAGCACAATTGTAGGCATTACAGCCTCACACATTTCTCTAACTCGAGAGGTCTGCCCAAGGAACATGTCTGAGGTAGTTTCCAGGCGATCTGGAAGGGGGCCCTCGGGTTTCTAGAGCACTGCAAGTCAATCAGCAGCTGCCAGGCTGTGGGGACGGGACATTCTAGATCCCAGCATCCATACACAGAGGTGGTGATTCCACAGGCATAGTGAGCTTTGATGAACAGCCACCCATGGCCCATTCTGTTAGCCAAAGAACTCAACAACTCAAAGACCCTGAGAAAGGCTCACATGAGCCAACCTGGTGAGGTCTGAGAGCCACACGAGGGGACACAGAAACAGTAAAGAGTAAGATTGTTTACCAGTTGAACTATGTGTACACATATGAGAATTTTTAAATCTTAACAAGGAAAAAGCAAATTTTCCAGATGTTAGGCGTTATCTTTAAATTCTAATTTACTTATCTCTTAAAATAATTGGTGATAGTTAACACTTAGCTTACTTTGCAATGAACATCTAGTCAATGGCTTACGGTTCAAAAAATCCTGAAATCTGTTTAACATTAAAGAGCAGGGATAGTAGTGTTATTAATTGAATTGCTACCTAATTTCTTTGCTAGTCACAAGGTACTCTGGGTGGAACAGATATCCTACAGGCAGAAATGCTGAAAAAAATCTTTCAAAGCTTAGCAATTTATGTCATTAGTTTTCAATTCTCACTTTCACGCAGACAGACTCCTAATAGGAACATGAGAAATGCCACATGGTTATGGTTCCAACCCTCTGAGTACTGGTATTCTTTCCACATAGTGTACAGGAAAGGGTTAAAGGATGCTCTCTACAGAGTTCAGTCAGCCCAGTCACGTTTGAAGATCAGCAGGAAGCAATATTGTAAAAAAACGCAGAGGTAGTGGAGGGGCAGGGGAAGGGAGAAAAGGGTAAATTTCCCTAAAAGTATCAGCGAGGCAGCTACTGCTTTTCACGTTAAGTCCAGAGGTGGGATTAAAGGGGTGGAAAGACCCTTCTTTCAAGAAGAAACAAGTAATATATAACATGTATTGGTCAGCAAAGATCAAAGCATGTGACCACTGCGGTCACAAGGCCAGGCTAGTCAAGGTGACTAAGTGGTCTGTAAAGTAAGCATCAACAAGCTGGGCACTGTGAAATGAGTGGGACTTCAGAGTTGTGGGAAGGACCAAGAATGTGTGCAGTGGTCATGGCAGGCCCATAACTGCAAAGCCAAAGGCAGGGTCACTGAGGGGGTCCCTCAGGCCCCTCTTCAAGGAGGAAGTGGCTGATAGAAAACTGCATCTCTGAGAGCAAATCCTGCGCCCAGCAGGAGTATGACTCCGAACTCAGCATCTGATGATAACGCACCACACAGAAGGTATAGGGCAAGGGAGCATCGACACAGAACCACGGCCAGGGAACTCATCTGCAGGTCACAGGAACACACCTATAGCCCCTACTAACAGAACTTGGAAAAGGAAATGCTTCAAGTTAGGACAAGGAGAGGGAGGGGGAGGGGGAAACTCCAAACAAACCAAGATATATGTAAAGTAACCCTTGGCTAGATTCTAAGTCCTTGAATAGAATTAACGTAATTGACATTATAGAAATGACGATCAAACAGTGTCTGCCCCTGATCTTGGGGGGAGCTGGGCAGTATAGGAAATCTCAAGTTTTAACTGCTGGCAAAGTTTGAAAGAAAAAAAAAGGCTCTACTCTCAAAAAACAAATACTTTTTTTTTTTTTTTCCCAAGAAGATTCTTTGTCTAATCCTCTACTTAAGGTCACATTTATAACATTTATTTCCTGGTTTCAGGGTTGTAAGCTGCCCAATATCACAGGCTGTTCAGCAATTAAAATAGTGATTTAGTCAAGTTATGCTGAATTCCTGACACCACCACTCAACGTTCATGAAATCCTAATTTTTATGTAGAACAATTTAAAACTTTTACATTGAATAAAGCTACATCATAATTTAGTCTAAATTACAAGTGCATTTAAAGTCACTTCTGTTTATCATAGTGCTACTAAAGATCAGCAAGATCAAGGTCCCCCCTTTTAAGATAGAAGCAAATAAAGACTGTATAAGGGCAAATAGAAATTAAAAATAATTCCAGTTGAAAGGAAGGGAAAAGATTTCCTTCCCCTCCTTTTTCTTAGAGCATCTACTTTAGAAAAATTGTAACTGTACGTACTTTCTCCTTTCTTTGAAATATGTATGTGTATGTGTGTGTGTGTGTGTGTGTGTGTGTGTGTGTGTATCCCTTTGAAAACTAAATATGCCTTTTTTGTCAGCGTTATGACCTAGAATGTCTTTCTCAAGGGTGTGGAAGCCATTTCTCTGCAACGTAAACATCAAGGGAGATAGCACCCCCATCTCCCAGTTTCTGTGGGAGAGTAGGAGCCTAACTTGGGTGGGCGCCTTGCTACAAGTTGCAAAAAGCTGTCATAAAAACAGGAGAAGTTTGTTCCTCCTCTGGATAAGGCCAATTAGCTAACACAGACAGTTCCCCAGTTAGCAGGTAAAGTTAGGACGAACTATGTGAGCCATGAGGTGTTGTCAAGCCTCTTACTTAAGGACTAGTTATTGTGCCTCTTGAAAATGTGTATGTAATACGTTGTATCATCCCCATATCAGGGGATGAGGTTCCTGTCTCTGCACTCTCCTAGCAGACTGCCTGCGAGGCACACCACACTCTGGTTCAATGCTTATTCAATAAAAAAAGTGTTTTCTTTCTCTACTACCTTTGCGAAGAAGATTTCTGGGTTGGGAGAAGATTTTGTTTCTCATTATAATTCCCCAACATGGGTAATAATCTAAAAATCTTTTTTATTTAGCTATAAGAAGCTCTGAACTTATATTTAAATAAATATACACACATTTATGGAATATATCTGACATTTTGGGATATTAAAATAATTTGATAATGACTGTAAACATCAGAATCTAGGTCCCCTAGATGACCCACTTTAATGGGTCAATGTTAACTTAAAAACTTTAAAATCCATGTTAACTCCCCATAAACCTACTCCCTGAGCCACTCAAGCCTGAGATAGGTATCATACTATTACACAGAGCAAGAATGATTGCACACACGAGACTACTCTAGAAAAGCAGGACAAAAGGAAGGAAGATTGTGGGCAACCCAGTCAGAGACCATGTTAAGTCAGCTACACTAACTGAGAGATCAACATTTCTACACATCAAGTCTACAGACTCACAAAGTGAGGGGTAGGAAGGATGAAGGACTGGAGGCCACAAGCATATTCTTGGGACTCTACAAGTTTTCTGAAGAATTTTTAATTCAGTGTTTTTACTTGCATAACAAATAATTTAAGAAATT